CTTCAGTATGATACGATAAATATTCCCTTTGTACAACAATGTCTTAGGTCTAACACTTACTTTGTAGTATGTGCACGTTGACGCTGGCAGGTCGTGCATTTGAAGGCACGCAGGTGTAATTTCCCGCGTGAAATTTGTCGGCCTGCTCTATGACCAGCTCGCTGGACTGCTTGCCGTGCTTCACGGTGACGCCGCCACCTGCAAAATAAAAAATAATATGAAGGACTTAATTTTTTTTGTTCAAATTTATTTTTGTTAATCAAGACTTCGTGTCTTGTCAATGTCTCATTTACAAAATTGACAGGTACAAAAAAGAAATTATTCAAAAAATACAATAAATTGAATAAAAACAAAAAGTTAAAAGAAGTTAAAATAATAATAATAATAACAGTAATATAAAAATACAAATATAAATGAACTATGGCGCGCTGATTATTCGCCCATCACAGTTAAAGAGTGCTAAGTTAGAGCGCGGGTAGACATTGGACTAGGTGTTTGGTAGGTCGGTAGAACTTTTTCTTCTTACTTTATTCAGTATTCAGTAATTCAGTAATTAGAAATATACAACATTAAAAGCTAAACTGAAATCATTGTATTGTAATCAAGATAATCTCCACTGAAATTATCTTGTTAATCTGGTTATGCATTGTCCAATTGCCAAGTTTGCTTCAGCCTCCTCTGTCTAGTTTGTAATAATTTGTGCGCTAATTGGTTAGGGTGAATGAAAGTGAAAACTATAGCATTGATTTACATTCATATAAAGACTGATATGAATGCTATAACATTCAAATTTTAAAGTCATTTTTTTTATAACCTAACGCTGTTGTAATTATTATACCTCTAGAGGTAATGGCAGTAACTAATTCTTTGGGTATTTTTGTACTATCTTTTCTTTTCCTGTAATCACTATTTAGCTTGGGCAAACACTTAGTGTAAAATAGAAGCGCTTTTTGATGTGGATGCTATAGCATTCATCTAGCACATAACGATTAAAATAAGAAAATCTTATGACTACCTTTATAATCGGTGTTCAATGAAGTTTTGGATATCACAGCCAACTTAAAAATAAATGTACTGTCAATTTTTGTACTTTGCTGAGACTTCCACTGTCCGTCAACGTGTTAAGAAATTTATAATTGCAAAAAAAGTTTTATGAAAGGATTCACAATATTAAAAATAGATAATGTGATTTTTACCTTTTTGAATGAGGAGTTAATTTTCAACCAAAAGCAATTTCAATCGAAATTGCTTATTTTATGTTTCCTCGACGTTTCATGTCATTCTGAATCGAATGGAACCAAATTTGCAAAAAGTATGTTTGTGTGAGTGTGTGTTACCAGATTTTTGACATTTGTCAACACTTCTCAATAACGGTTGGACTGATTTAAAAAATTCAAAAGTTATTCGATGTAACTCGATAAGGACTAGTGTTTGAAAATCAGCCAAGTCGTTTCTTTGTAATTATCAAAAAAGTGTGAAATATTTTGTCCAAGTTTTAGCCCACAATTTTTGAAACGACTTCAAAAACTTGAAAACAGTTTGCAAGATACTAATTTGTTTTGTAGCCCAAAATTTTGAAAAAACAGGCCAGACCTTTTTCCTGTAATTTACTATTAAATTTTTTTCCAACCATTTTTATGAAACGTTTTACAGCGATGGATATCATGGTCCTATAAACCATACTGAAATATTACCGTGCTACAATGAGTCGTTTAATTTTAAAATTTGTAGAAGTTTGTGAAAATTAAGAACATTTTTTGGCGCTTGTCAAAATTAGACCTTTCATCGTCGTTTTCCCAAAAAAGACTGTTTTCTTGTGATTAACCGTCGGACAAAATGCCGATTTTTATAAAAAAATAGTTGACGATAGATAGACGACCCTATGACAAGTAGTTTAATTTAAAAAAATTATTCAAGCTTGAAAAATTATAGTCTAAATTTGTGTCAAAAATAAAATGGAAGGAATTGATACTAATTTGTTGTTTGTCCCAAAATTTTGAAAAAAATAGGCCAGGCCTTTTTCCTGTAATTGACTATTAATTTTTTTCCAACCATTATTATGAAACTTTTTACAGCGATATATATCATGGTCTTATAAAACATACTGAAATATTACCGTCCTACAATGAGTCGTTTAACTTTAAAATTTGTAAAAGTTTGCAAAAATTAGTGACATTTTTTGGCTCTTGTCAAAATTAGACCATTCATCGTCGTTTTCTCAAAAACGACCATTTCCCTGTTGGCAAAAAATTGCCGATTTTTATAAAAAAAAAGTTGACGATAGATAGACGACCCTATGACATGTGGTTTAATTAAATAAAAGTTAAAAATAAATAATTAATAATTTTTTTAATTAATTAAAAAAAATCATCAAAGTTTGAAAAAGTATAGTCAAAATTTGAGCCAAAAATCGTTTTTGTGATGTGATAAGTCAAACATTGTCAATGTATTCAAATGTGGAATAATGAACTACAATGGACATACATAACAAATGAAATACAAAATAATGGACTACAAGGACATACAAACACCCGTGTCTGTGCTGTATGATTAATATGATTACATATATTATAAATGAGTTTGAGAAGATTTAATTGGAAATCGCCTTGTTAAGACTAATTGAGTTGAAAATTTTATCTAAATACCTAAATCCAAATTTCGGTTGATTAAATCAATCAATCTATCGGAAAGTTCATACGACTTGCCTCAAGACAAAATGCAGCTTTTAACTAGTTAGTTTTCTGATTCTACTAACTCTTACAAAATCTTATCTACTACAAATCTGTACTACGGTGAACCACGGCACGTATTCGTCTAATTTAACACTCCAGGTACAATATTTGGCCTGTGAACGAATGGATTTAGCGGTTATTCGTTATCGGGAGAACAGACCCCGGTTAGAACACCTCTAAACTCTAACCTTGGATCCGATATAGCACTGTGTCACTAGACTAACACATTTCACCGCCGACAGGAACAGAAATAGACGGAGCGCTAATGGACAAGTTGCGAAAAAAAATTGATGGAATTTATATAAACGAAAGACCTACCAATATCAACTTAGATATATTAGTCCAGTTCTCAACTGTATAGAAATTAGGATATATGAATAAAACTTAAGTGACATGCACTTTGAAAACAAAAAAATATTTTATTATTTATTAACTTCCCGAAGAAGTTTGTTTTCATAAAAAAATCCGATTTGCTAACTTTATGTTTTCTGGACATTTCAAGCCATTCTGAATCGAATGAGATTGGAAGATATGTATATATATATGTGAACAGATGACCGATTTCAAAAATTTAAAAGCCATTCGATGTATCTCGTTGAGGACTATCGTTTGTCATTTTGAGTCGTTTTTACAAATATTAGTTGGGAACGATACTGATTAGTTTTAGGTAAAGATCGACCGAGCCGTTTTCTTGTAATTAATTGTTGAAAAAAAAATTGACGATTTTTACGAAATTTTTTGGCAATAGATATCATGGTCTTATAGAACATACTGAAATATTGCGAATCAACGACAAGTAATTTCATTTTAAAAATTCATCGAAATTTGAAAAAATATCATTGTCAAAATTTATGTCAAAAGTTACTTTTGTGATGCGGTAAGTCAATTAGCACAATTTAATTTCTCTATTTTTGTGAGAAATGTTACCATTTAATAACTTTCCGTAGAGTAAGTTATAATAATAGCAGAAAATCGAAAATGTAAATTTTTATATATCTTTACGTTTCAAAGGTTTCTGAACATTTTGGCATACATTGAAAAAAATTAATGTATGAGTGTGTGTGTGTGCAGGTACAAATTTTCGTCGACGATTTTGGGAACACGGATCAACCAATTTGAATAATTTAAAAAAAAACATTCGAATTGTATTGATAAGGAGACGTGCTGATTAGTTTATGACAGTTAGGAATAATTGTGAGAAAACGGAGTATTCAATATTAATATTTCTTCTATAATAAATAATATACAAAACATTTGGAAAGGCAGGTTTAACGGTTTCAGAGATCACGTGAAAAAAAAATGAATTTGGGAATTATATGCACATTAAATTTTCAGGTATTTTATAGACACTTTAAAACTTAGTAGTGAGTTTGTTACAATTTTTTAGAGTTCCGTACCAACTTTTTTAAATTTTTAAAGATCACTTATAAGGCTCAACCAAATTTCAATGTTTTCTAATTTTTTTTTTTCAAAATTTTACAAAGTTTTATACTTTAAGTACAAATTTAAATTTACACTTGAGTTTAAAAATTTTATATGGGTATTCCTTAGAAATATATCCTTAAATGAATTCATTAGGCTGCTCTTGTTAATGTAAACATTCTTAAGTGTTTTGTGCGAAAAGATTGTAACTGTATATTATACAAACGATAAGATATATTGTATTAACTAGAGGGGTATATGGCATCGTGCCTTGAGGCAAATTGCTGTAACTTCCCGTACCGTGAATAGAAATCTTGGTACGGAACGCAAAAAAATTCACAAAAAGTGTACACATAATTAAAATCTCTATAAAATATCTGATAATTTGATGTACATATGTCCAATATACATATTTGACCGTCAAATGCCATTTTTTCAAATTATGTTTATTGAGATTCCATAACCGATGGACCTGTCTTCCCAAAAATTTAATCAGTTGTTCATCTTGTCAATAAAAGTAAAATGTTTTTTGAATCATTCAAATCAGGTACTCTATTCTCTCAAAACTGAATTACCGTTTTTAGCACTTTTTGACCCGTATCTTCGGAACGGCTAGACTTGCCTTGCCCAAAAACTAATCAGCACGTCTCCTTATCAATACGAATCAAATGTTTTTTGAGTCATTCAAAGCGGTTGATCGGTGTTCCCAAAATCGTCGACAAAAATATGTATCCGCACACACACATATACATCCAGTTTTTCTGAGATATGCCAAAATGTTCACAAAAATTTGAAATGTAAAGATATAAAAAAAATTTCAGTTTCGATTTTTTTGCGATTTTTTGCGATTACTATAACTTACCCTACGGGAAATTAATTTTATTTGAAAATATTTAGAACAATTTTTATTAACTTTGATCAATATTCATTGAATACTGATGAATTTTTTCCTCGAATGTTTAATTACGGTACGGTAAGTTCCAGCAATTTGCCTTAAGGCACGATGCCGTACACCACTAGTTCAACTTTGAATATACTTTACCC